GGTGATGTGAGAGCCTGGTCCGGTGAGAACCCGGCGTGCTCCGTCCCGGCTTTGTAGGGATGCGAGGTCAATGGTCCGACGACTTTGGCATGCACGGCTATGAGTACACACACACACACACACACACAGGGTTGTTGCGCGTGAAAATGTTCACGCAGAAAAAAAAAAAAAATGTTCGCAAAATTTGAATAGGTTGGCGTCGCGTGGCACCGACGCTGTAGAACAAGCCACCAGACCCTAGACGTGAAATAACTGAACTTACCAACTTTTTTTTATTTTTTCCCATACCGTAACACAAACCCGCCAAGCCAGACATGAAAGAGCTGAACTAACCGACCTTTTATTTTCCCATAAAGTAACATAAACCTGACAAGCTAGACATGGTAAAATTGAACTATCCGACTTTTTATTTTTTCCCATACCGTAACACAAAGCTGACGAGCCAGACATGAAATAACTGAACTAACCAACTGTTTATTTTCCCATACCGTAACACAAACCCGCCAAGCCAGACGTGAAAGCGCTGAACTAACCGACCTTTTATTTTCCCATACCGTAACATAAACATGACAAGCTAGACATGGTAAAACTGAACTAACCGACTTTTTATGTTCCCATACCGTAACACAAACCTGACGAGCCAGACATGAAATAACTGAACTAACCAATTGTTTATTTTTCCCATACCGTAACACAAACCCGCCAAGCCAGACATGAAAGAGCTGAACTAACCGACCTTTTATTTTCCCATAAAGTTAACACAAACATGACAAGCCAGATATGAAATAACTGAATTCAACGAAATACATTTCCAGACGCTTACCATTTTTTTTTTTTCCTTTTCACAGTTGAAAACGCAAAAGTAAGCAAGAGTAGAAGGTTATTGGCCACCTTACACACCAATTTTTTTTTTTTTTAGAGCTAATGTGAGAAACAACAACAAACAACAAAAAACCAACACGAAACCGGAAACGAAGCATAAATATAGACACAGCAATCCCTTTGGTCAACTGTGCGATGCACATGAAGGTTGGGGACTCGTGGAGAGATAACTGTAAAACATTACCGGTTCCCATGGGGCGGTGGGAATCTGGTCAGACACTATCCTGAATTCTCCGCAAGGAGAGGGGTGGATAATGCAAGACAAAATGTCAGACCTAACATAATCAAGAACCTTGTTTTCAAATGACCGACCAAATGACCCAAAAGAGAAGGAGCACCAAGCGGTACGTAGATATCTTGAAGCTTGAAGGATAGACGCCGGTACAAAGTGTGGGGAAATTGTTGGTCAAGCTTTCGGCAGCGAAGGTCTACTCGGGAGCGTTAGTGGGGTAGCTACCCATGGTGTACCGTACAAACGTTGATGACCATAACTCATTTATCAACCCTGGGTCGACTTAGACCGCCATCAGGGAAGGTAGTGCTCTCTGGCGTCTACGAGGAGGAGATTTTTATGTCTGTATGTCATAAAAATCAAGGAAGAGACGGACATCCCGATGTGTGAGTGAGACCTTCTGTTATGCAAGCCACCCTTGAACCCTACATGGGGAAAATGACCTCCCCGGAGGAAAGTACCCAGTACAGCAGCTGGGGCAAGTAGAGAGAAGATACGGTCGTGGGACGCTTGGGTTGGTTACCATGCAGATCGCCTGGCACAAACTTGGGGTACTTGTGCTAAGGGTGTTGAACTTGGCTCCAGGCTATGAGCCCATGTTGGAGGCACTTTTTAGTGTCGGTGAGCCGGCAAAAGAATTGAAAGACACCAGACCCTCAACAAGTACTAGGATTGGGAAGTCCCAGTAATTTGAAAGCATCCCACTTCAAACAAAAACAACGAGATAGTCTCGAAAGAGATAAGGAGGGAGACGACAAGGCACAAAGGGTGGAGAAGGAGAGAATGGAAAGGTGCAGTACTGGTAGTGTTGATATTTGGGGTCAATAACGACATGACAAGGTTGGAGTTCAAAAGTATATGTGAAGAAGTAGGATTATATTGCTTCGCACGGGGGGGGGTAGAAAGGGAAGGAAACCACTTTAGAATCACGTTTGGAAGGAGAGTAAGCGCAGAATGGGAAAGACTGGAAGTAGAGAAGATGTCGGCGTGGGTGAGGAGACTAGGTTGGAGGGTGTGCATAGCAAATAGGATCCAGGAAGTAAGGCGTAGCCCAAGGCTGGCTGAAAACGAAGGGGGGCAGGAGGTTCGAAAGGATCACAAGGGAAAGCAAGCCAAAGTAGGGGAAGGGGGGAGCAGCGAAAGGATAAGGCAGAAGGGAAGGCGAACGAGGGACAGAAGGAATCCTGAAAGGCACGGGAAAGTAGAAAGTAGGAGTAAGGAAATCAGACTAGGGTCTTGGAATGTATGCGGGTTTGCCACAGATGAGCGTAAAAGACTCGAAATTGCCGAGCAAGCAGCCGAAAAAGACCTGGACATAGTCGGAGTCCAAGAGTCGTGGGAGAAGGACGGGGGAGAAATAGGAAAAGAAGTGGGAAGCTACACGTGGATAGGTAAAATGAGGAGAGGACAGAAAATCAAGAGTAGAGGGGAGGGGGGAGTTGGATTCTTAGTCAAGGAGCACATGTGCGACGTAATTGAGGTGATCAGCGACACCAAATTCAACGAAAGCATGTGGATAAGGGTACCAGGGGAACGGGGAAGGAAGGACTTGTTCGTAGGAAATGTATATATACCACCAGAGTCGAAGAATATGGTGAAGGACATCAAGATAGGGTTCGAGGAGGTAGCAGCGGATGTACAAAACTTCAAGAGAAAGGGAGAAGTAGTTTTAGTTGGGGACTTCAATTCAAGAATCGGGCGAACCACGAACCCACACGGAGCCATCGGGCAATACGGGGAGGGAGCCACGAACAAAAACGGGGAAGAAATGCTGAGGTTCCTTGACAGTAGCGAGATGAAGGTGTTGAACGGTAGAGTACGAAAGACAGAACCGGAATGGACTAGGCAGTGTTTAAAAAAAGGAGAACGCTCCATCCTTGACTACATAGTCGTAGAGAATGGGGGGAAAGAGACGGAAGTACGAGTATGCACAACGGATGTAGGCACTACAGACCATGCGTTGGTGTGGACAGCCCTACAACAGACGAGAGTCATACAAAGTAGGCGACGAAGGAAAATGTACAGATGGAGAATAGATCAGCTAGAAGTAGAAGAAACGAGGGTAGAGTTTCAAGAAGAGATGGCTGTAAACGACAAGAAACTCTCGGAGTTGATAGAGGCAATGGGCACACCGAAGGATGCCAAAGGTCGGGACCAGGCCGGATCTAGAATCATAGAAGGGTGGGAAAAGCTGGTAAACACAACGGCAAGTAGAGTTCTCGGTAGAAAGTTGATAGTTTGTAAGAGAGCAGTGAAGTGGTGGGACGAAGAAATCAAGCAAGCAATTCGAGTACGTAGAGAGTCACACGCAAAATATGCGGCAGGAAAAACCGATGCAGGATGGAAGGAGTATGTTGAAAATTGAAAGAGGGTGAAGGAGTTGGTGGTGAAGAAGAAAGCGTTGTGGGAGGAAGTAGTCCAAAAGACTAACGAAGATTTTGCGGGGGGGATAAAGCAAATGTGGGTAGGAATTCAAGGGATAGTGGGCAAGAACAGAGGGGGAGACACGGGAATAGCGACACTACGATCTGCCGAGGGTAAGATGGTAAGCAGTTCTAAAGGAAAGCGGGAAGT